TTCTGAAATAAAATATGGTGTTCTTTTAATGCTTTGATTGAGGGGAAGTTATCTCTAAGTTATGCATATTTTGAGGGGGAGCTCTTATGATTGTTATAGAAGAAATATTTTAATTTTTTGATTATAATCAAAATAGGGGGAGAAATTTTTAAAGCCTACTATGATTGATTTTAAATATTATCTGGTATGTTTAATGTGTTTGTTAGTATGACAGATAAAACAGGTTATTACAAGGCTTTAAAAGAAAATTTTGATCATCATAAAAAAGGGGTAGATTGTTGAACATTCAAGGACTTGATGTTGAACTTACATGGACATGAAGCTTGTTGATTTTGATGATGATTCAAGAACAAAGAACTTAGAGAGTTGAAAACTTGTTTTATTGTGTAATAACTCTGTTTTGATTAGTTTGAGTCTGTAATATTAGAGTCTAAGATAGCCGGTACATAGTCTGCACTTTAGAAGCTTCAAAAACTCACATTTATCAGTTTGCCTCGGGTTTAATCGATTAAATGGTCAAATAATCGATTATTACAGTGAGAAAAACCATTTTCTGTCACTGTTCACTGTAATAATCGATTAACACACCTGTTAATCGATTAACAGGCCTGTTAATCGATTAATAAGGCTTTTAATCGATTAAAACAGAGAGTTTTGGGGTTCTGTTGATTTTGGCTCTGTAATAATCGATTCACACTTCATTTAATCGATTATTTCAGTCAGATTTTGATTTTCAACTTCAAATTAAACCTATTTTCGAAAACCCTAATCCCAATACTCTCTAGTTCCGAAAATCCCAATTCCTAAACCCTAATTTCTCTACTTAAGGTTCTCTATGGCTCTCAGAAAAATTGAACAACCTTTTTCAAACAAAAGTTAAGTGTTGTGAGTGCCAGAGAACTGTTTGTTGGAGGAAAAAGGGGCTTTTGGAACCTGGTGTGAGCTAGAAGCGATAAGAATCACTAAGTGGAGTTCTTAGTGGATTGTGTGTTGTGCCATCTCTAAGAAAAACTGTTCTTCATCTCTTGTGGGTTTCAAGAGAGGTGTTTTCTTTACTTTGTATTTTCAATTGTTATATGTTTGTAACAACTTTGATTATAGTGACAGCGTTAATCCTCTGTTTGAGTGATTAGCAACTGGACGTAGGGTCTTTTGATCTGAACCAGTATAAATCTCCTGTGCAAGACTCTATCTCTATTCTATTTACGTTTACACAGCATTTTAATCGGTAAAATTTGGGGAAAATTTTTAAAACCTAATTTTTGTTAAGAAACCAATTCACCCCCTCTCTTGGTTTTTGTCCAACAACGCGAACATTCCGCTGTGCGATTCTAACACTCTAAATGTGCTTAATCTGTTAAAAACCAAAGTAATCGGTTAAATGGTTTTTAAGTAATTGTTTTAACTGATATTATATGAGCTTTATCAGTTAAAATGTTCTTAACACTTACGTAACAGGTTTTTAACTGATAGGTTTTCGAAATAATCGAATAAAACCTTTTAAAACATTCACTGGAACTGTTTTAATCGATATATCTTCGAATTAATCGATTATTGTCATTAAAGGAGCTTTTGAAAACCTTCTGCCAATATTTTAACTAATGTAGAATCGAAATAATCAATTAAAATGACTTAAGATGTTTTGAAAAGTGTTCTGATAGTTTTTTAATCGATACAAACTCGAAATAATCGATTAAAATAACTTGAAGTGTTTTGAAAGATGTTCTGTCAGTATTTTAATCGATGTAAATACGAATTAATCGATTAAAACCACTTGAAAGGTTTTGGAAGAAGTTCTGTCAGGATTTTAATCGATATGTTATCAGTTAAAATAACTTAGAAAGTTTTATGAAACTATTTGGCAGGATTTTAATCGATTAAAATGCGAATTAATCGATTAAAACAACTAAGAGAATTTTTCCAAAATGTTTTAATCGATTAAAATAGATTGTTATCAGTTAAAATCACTTAGAAAGTTTTATGAAAATATTTGACAGTATTTTAATCGATTAAAAGGCGAATTAATCGATTAAAACAACTTAAGGGATTTTTTACAAAGTGTTTTAATTGATTGAAACGATGTTGTATCAGTTAAAACAAATCTGGAAAATGATCAAGAACATTTTAACAGATTAAAAGAAGTTTTAACAGATTAATTCAAGACTTTTAACAGATTAAAAGTTTGTTTTAACAGATTAATTAAACCAGCAGTTTGAACAATATTCTATATGAAAAGGATTGCTTGAGTCTTTTAAAATATACTTTTGTGTAATCAATCAAGCAATCATAATAGCTACTTTCAAGAAAGAATCACGCAAGTTTTTCAAAGTTTTTCAAAGTTCTTTCTTGAGGCATTTTCTGCATTTCTTTTGTGAATAAACTCATTCTGCAGAGCAGCATAATTCAGGTTTAACTCTTCTAGTTTCTTCTCTTTGTTTCTTTTATATTTCATTACTGTATTGTGGGTGTTTGGAAGTGTGGGCACTAGTTTCACACTTCCCTTACACGTAACTAACTCCTTACACGTAACTTACCCGAAAGGGGCATCGTAAGGGAATTAACACCTCCCTTACACGTAACTAACTCCCTTACCCAACTCTGGTTTTAACGACCAAAGTTGGTTTTCGAAAAACCAATGCCTTTTATCTCCTTTCTTGATGTTTCCGGTAAAAACATCGGTGGCGACTCCATAAGAACCCTTTCAAATTTGTCCTTACGTCAGCCCGGTTATTGGACGATCTAAGAACACCCTTTTGAAAACCTCGCTCTTAGGTTCAACCCGGTTATCGGACAACCTAAAGGCATTGTAACATCACCCATAAAAACGTGAAAAACGAAAAGTAGGAACCATTGCGTCGCTCCGACCGCCTCTTTTTGACGGTGACGACAGATGGCGACTCCACTGGGGAAGCTTAGAGAGTTGATCTCATTTAGTGATGGGCCAGTTTAATAAATAAACTAAGAAATTTCGTTTTGACCCTACCTTGTATTATAACATGCTTTAATTGCTTGCTTTAATAACTGTTGTTTGTTTATTTTACGCAATTGTTTGAAATAAACATTGTACACAAACCTTTGCACACAACAGTTCCCTCTATACCCAGGGGCAAGTGAGAAATCCATAGGGAGTGGGTGGCAGGTACGGTTTGCCGTAGTGATGACCATGTGCCCACCGGTATGATCGGAAACCACCACTCAAGGTGATAACCTTCCTATTTTGACACAAAGACTGACTATGGCCTTAGTGCTAAGCATGGTCGGAAGGCTGGAGAGTGGGAACCCTATAATGGGGGCACCTTGGGGGCCTAAGCCTTGGTGAGAACAGTTAGAACCTACCCTTGCCAATGCACTTTTCTGCAGGAAAACCCTACCTCGTGATTAAAACGACTTCTTGCCTGTTCGCAGATGAGTGAATTGTATGTGTATTTGTTTGTTGCACTTGATTGCATAGCATAACCAAACAACAGATAAAAACAAAAAATATTTTTACAATAAACACCCTTATCTCGGACAGTCTGCCTTTTAGCTAGCCTGGTTTCAGGTTCTTTGTAAGCTAAGTAGCCACACACTCCGACAGAAGAGATAAGGGACGCCAAAATTATTCTTTCGCAAATAAACTATTTTATCTCAGACAGTCTGCCTTTTAGCTAGTCTAGCTTCAGGTTCTTTGCAAGCTAAGTAGCCACACAGTCCGACAGAAGAGATAAAAGGCTGTAAAACCAAAATAAAAATAATAAATAAAAACCCAAATAAATGGGACCTTGTTCATAAACATAAAATTCATAAATCATCCATATAGGTAGTTTATTTTTCTGAAAAAAAAAATATACGCAAATAACACCATACATCATGTAGAAATAAAACATGATAAACAGAAAAAAAAATACTCGCATTCATATCTAAAATAAGCATCATGTTCATAAACATGCATTTTGGTTTTTTAGAAAATGGAGGGGACTAGTAGACAATTGAAGAAAGTGGACATTCCCCGGTACCATACTGAGAAACTAGAACGGCTTTGTACGATAATGCCACCAGAGGATCGCTCCGACTTCAAAAAATCCTATGGACGGATCCTCGACCTGTTGAAGATCTATGTCGATCCCATTTTTATCAGGGTTCTAGTTCATTTTTGGAACTCTAGTCTGCACTGTTTCGAATTTCCGCAGTTCGATATGGTGCCTACTTTGGAGGAGTATGAGATTATGCTTAAATGGCCCAAATCAGCCGGGGTCCATATCCGCCACAGAGCATATACTTCTGCAGCACAAGTCGTTGCCATCATCTGATTGCCTTTCTGGCAGACTACCCTGATAGAAAAAGGGAACATCCAGGGTTGGAAAGTCTCAATGTTAGAAGACCATTTGTCCTCTTTGGCTGAAAGGGCAGAATGGGATGCTTTTAACAAAACCCTGGCCTTAATCATATTTGGAACAATCTATTTTCCCTTCCATATCAACACAGTAGACCAAGCCGCCATGGACGTCTTCTTCACCTGGGATGTGAACTCGAAGAGTCCCTTGCCTGCACTTCTTGCCGACACCTTGCTCTCAGTGGAATTTTGCCGCCAGAAGCAAGGAAAAACACTTAGATGTTTCTCTTCACTACTTTTTGTGTGGGGAATCACATATTTCTACGCCTCTAGTCACATGGGGATGTTCCCTAACCCTTTGAGAAGCTTCTCCAAAATCCCTCTCCACTAACGCCTAACCTCAGAGTGGAAGGTCGAGTTGGAACAATGGGACGCTAACCAATTATCCTGGGTTTGCCCTTGGTCGCGACCTGGTCCCATCCTCATCAGATGTGGGGATTACGCGAGTATACCATTGATAGGACTCAGGGGTTGCATAGCCTATTCACCGAGAGTAGCTATGAGACAACTCATGAGGACTCAAACTACAATATCCCAAGGGGAGCTCGGAGGATTGTGTTTATTTGGAGACCCATGAACTATTTCTAACTCACTGGCTGTGAGAAGAGCATGGGAGAAACTAGTCTTTATGGGAGATAGAGAGCTAGGAAAAGCTTGGGTAGTTGCCTCTAGTGACTATGAGAAATGGAGACAGAAAAGAGGGATGTCACAACCATCCACCTCACTCTCTACATGTTCAAACAGTGAAGAACTTCAAAATCAAGTCGATGCCTTGACCCGGAGGATAGAAATCATGGGAGCCCAGATGAAGGCCCTTGAAGAAAGAGAGCAAGAATCTATCCTCACCATAGATGGTCTGCAGAGGCAATGCAAGAAAAAGGATCATGAAATAGAGCGCCTCAAGGATCAGTGCGCTGACTCTAATGAGCAAGCTATCCGAGCATCCAAAGCTGCTAAAACCAGCTCGGATAGCCAACTCCAAGAAATAACCGCCAAATCAGCACAGCTTGAGGCCGAATGCGCAAAACAGGCTCAGACGATCAAGGACTTGTTACAAGATCTCACAAGGACTTGGTCAGAAATACGCCAAGAGCGAGAGGCCAACCGGAGACTCAACAAAAGTCTCACTGATCTACGCTGCAAAGAAAGAGATGGGCTAGCTCAGTACGTTCAAGTACTGCGAGAAAAAGATCGAGTCCTTGCAAAGCTCGACGAGCTGCAAGCCTTGGTCGTCCATCAAGAGGCGAATATCAAAGAGGTTCAAAAGTACAGTGAAGATATGAGCCAGGCGGTCCAGAAGCAAAGCGAAGCACTCGCTCGTCATGTCTGGGAAGCCGAAAGGGAATTACATAAAGATCAAGACCTTCCTGTGGGTTTCTTTAGGCTTTTCCGCTTTTGTCAAAAGTTGTTTCGTAGTATGGAATAGGGGAATGTACACCTTCTACGGATAAATGAAATTTTTCTTTATTCAACGATTGTCTACTTGCATGCATATCATTCATTTGCATATTTAATTTCCCCTCCTTCACTTTTAATAATAAACAAGATAATAAAAAGGAAGGATTAACTGACACGTCTTCCAAATCAGAAGAATGGAGAGAAAGCCACTTTTAATCAAGCTTTCCCCAACGGTTGATCCACCACAAGAGGATAATAAGCCTCAACCGTTGGTCCTCAAAATCAATAAGGAAGAGGAGGCAAGGACACCTGTGCGACTTTTATGCCACGTCCTTTCCCCTACGAATCAAATAAAGCTGTACCATGGAGATACGGAGAATTTTCACCAATAAAGGAGGATATTTCCAATATAGCCAACATTGGGGGCATGACTAGAAGTGGAAGGGTCTATTCCCCCAAGGATTTACAAGAGGACGACGCCCCTAAGAATAAAGGAAAAAATAAACAGATTGAAGAAAAGGAAATAAGGAATCCAAGGAGGAGACAGACGAATTACTCCAGTTCATAAGGCAAAGTGAGTATTCCATTATCGATCAGCTCAATCATACACCTGCAAAGATAACGTTGTTATCTCTAATGATGAGCTCGGAACCGCATAGAAACGCCCTGATGAAGATCTTGAGCGAAGCGCATGTACCTCACACTATATCCCAAGAAAAAGTTGAGAGGATTGTTGGTCACATTACGACAAGCGATCACCTCACCTTCACAGAGGAAGAACTCCCCTTTGAGGGGTCAAGCCACAACAAGCCCTTACACATTTCCATGAAGTGCAAGGAATACCTCATTGCTAAAGTTCTTATGGATAACATGTCATCTTTGAACGTGATGCCCAAGTGTACACTCGACAAGTTGACTATTCAAGAACCCGTCTGCGCCCAAGCAGAACTATCGTTCGAGCCTTCGACGGATCCAAGCGAGAAGTAGTGGGGGAAGTCAATCTGCCAATCCAAGTTGGACCAACTATCTTCAACGTTGATTTCCATGTAATGGACATTACTCCGACATACAGTTGTCTCCTCGGCAGGCCTTGGATTCATGACGCTAAGGCAGTACCTTCAACGCTCCATCAGAAAGTCAAGTTTATAGTGAATGACAAACTGGTCACGGTCCAAGCAGAAGACGATATCCTGATCAGTGGACCGTCTACCTAACCTTACGTGGATGCGGCTGAAGAGGCCCTTGAAAGATCTTTTCAAGCGCTCGAAATTGCCAGTGTAGAGAGACTTCCCAAAAATACGAAGGTAGCCCACATGATGATGAAGCATGGTTACCATCCTGGCCAAGGACTGGGGGCAGATTCCCAAGGAATAAGGGAACCTCCAGAGTTTAAAGATAACCCCTTTAAGTATGACCTAGGATATGACCCTACAAAGGGCCGAGCAGAAAAAAGAAAAGGGAAGTCTCCCCTCCGCACACTCAAACAAATATTTCAAAGCAGAGGGATGCAAGCGTCAAGAGCTACCCTAGTCATTAGGAGATCTTTTTCTTTGCTTAAGGGATGTAAACCCAGTGATTGTTAGAGATTATCCCCCGGGGCTAGCCCGACCCCCAGGAATTTCAGGGCACATATTCCCTCACTAATTAATAAAGAATACATTTCTTACTATCTGCTTCTCTTCTTACTACTTCATGTCTAGACCTCACAATAACCTTGTCTAAACAAACAAAAAGAAAGAAAAGAGGAAGAATAAAGGCGCAACCAAATAATCAAAATGTAGCATTGCCATAATAATCAAGCTCGTCGATTAGAAGCACAAAATAAGGTTTTACCTCGCCATAAATAAAGCCGTGTTTCGCCAATATTGTGAAAAAAAAAAACAAAAAGAAAAGAAAAAACCCATAGGAGCCAAAGGTCAAAAGAAAAGGGCAAAATACCGGGTAGGAAACCCACAAAGGGGGACTACGCAAAAGATAGGATCAACCCATTAGGACATCCGAACAAAAATAAAGGGTAGCCTAGGCAAAAGTTAGGGTTACAAAACAAGGTCCGCTAGGATTCCCTAAAAAGAAAAAGGAAGGAACCTATACAAAAGATAGGACCAAAACACAATATCCTAGTTCGAAAACCCAAAGGGCGATCTAGGGAAATCGATCAGCCATAAAAAGAAATGGAAAAGGCTAAGGCGCAAATCCAAACAAAAGAGAGAAAAACGTTTGCTTTGACAAAAGCTTAAACACCTAAGCCTAACCCTAGCCAGCCATGCTTACAAAATCCTTTCTGAATAAAATCAACCATCTAAAACACAAGCCGTTGAATTTACCCTTTACTTCTTTTCTCTTGACCTTCACAACATTATTCTAATAATTAGTTTGGGAATATGGAGGCGTATAGTCAACAAGAGGATTGAAACCCCTAAAGGGAAGAAAAAGGGACACCAACATGGCAAAGCATGCTCTCCGAAAAAAGGAAGAAAAAGGAAAAAGAAAAGAAGAAAGAAAAAAGAAAGAGAAAGTCATTCTTCGGTCACATTAAGTCCGAAATGGTACAACGAAGTACAACAGAAAATGATCATTAGAGGGCATCTGTCTCTACAAGACACACCAGTTAATCCTTATGAAAAACTAATGAAATAGGCATTATAGGACATCAAACATGAAAACATTGCATGCATAAATGTTTTTGAACAAGGCCCTATTTTCTTCCAAAAAAAAATACAAAAGAAAGTAAAAAAAGGCAATGATTACCTTAGCCGAAAACCGCAAGGCGACTAAGGTAATACCTTCCCAGAAGCAGGCAGACTTCGCATGATATTCACTCCGAGCTCGAGCATCTCAACTGAAGCAACCAGGAAAAATAGAGAAATAGAAATCAGGGGCATGATTGTTATATCCTATACAGTTTAGCCAACCTTGGCCAGCCCTGCTTATAAATTCCTTTGTAAATCCTCCTGTAAAAATAAACCATTTGATTATATCAATAAAATTGTCTTCTGTTCTCTTGACCTACTCGTGAGAATGCCTCTGTATTAACGAAACATGAGCATGCATAAACAAGCAATACAAGAAAGCATAAGAAAGAAAAAGAAAAAGAAAAAGGATCAAAATAAGCAGCGCCTGCTAGGACATTCTAAGGCAAAAATAGGGCAGCCTGCTAGATCGAAAACCCGCAAAGGGCGGTCTAGGCCAAAGTTAAGGCCTTTATAAGCCCGCTAAGATACCCTAGGAAAGAATTAAGGCATCCCGCTAGATCGAAAACTCACAAAGGGCGGTCTAGGCAAAAGATTGGGCTAAAACAAAAATAAAAATTCATAAGAATAATCACGGGAGAACAACAGAGAAAATACTAGTTGCTTTCTAGGTGCCCCAACTAAAAATAGATTGCATTTAGAGCATCCACGCACAAATAGTCGCACAAAAGTGACTTTGTCAAAATCAAAACAAACAAAAAATACTTCGGACAAATCAAAACCAAAAAGCATTCATGTGAGAAAATCAACTCTGTGCTTGCATTCGAAAACAGGAAACACCCAAAGGTATCCCGGTAAGACTTCACCGACTCTACCGAAAACATACATCAACCATGAGTTTTTGATGACCAACAAAAGTCAAACAACAAATGAGCAAGACTACCCAGCGACCAACAAGCTGGATAACCACAAAAGAAATCCCCGACACAAACCGGACGACCACTCTAGAAAAATCAAAAGTCAAAGATAAGAGAACACATCTCAACACCGGCGCATGAGCGACTGAGCAGTAAGCCGCCACCACCACCAGTCCTACGCAGTGGACTGTACCAGCCCAATGGGGGGTTCATACCCATCAACTTGCGCACGAACTGTGCCTGATCTACACACGAGTCTGACCAGTAAGTCGCAACTACCAGCTTGATGGTGGGGTTTATACTCATCCAGTCCGACACACAGTGGACTGCAACTACCAGCCTGATGGGGGGTTTATACTCATCCAGTCCTACGCACAGTGGACTGCAACTACCAGTCTGATGGGGGGTTTATACCCATCAACCGAAGGATCGACTACCGTCAGAAGGAGTATCCTGAGGTTCTACCTTGTGTCAACCAAAGGGATCGACTACCATCAAAAGGAGCATCCTGGAGGCGCACAACACATTTTTCCCTAGAAGATCAGCCACCGCAAGACGCAGCATCCGAAGGGAAACCGGGAAAGAGGGTTAACTCCTTCACCCTCTACCCGATCTTCTTGGCACAACAGGCCAACAGTCGGCTAGTCAGGTGAAGGGGAGGGGCAGCTGTAGACCCTAAATCTTGCCCAACCTCAAAATAAGAGCAGAAGACCTCCTATTCGAAGATGGATGAAGCCTAAAAAGCCACTAGGAGAGACTATTAGGCCCCATATTAGAGTAGGAAGGATTTTCTGTGCAAAAATAAGGATTTTCACCTTCAGGAGTCGAGATCGCCGTCTCGACCAGTGGCAAGTCGAGACTGCCGTCTCGCCACTTACCAATGGCGAGACCCCCCTCCCGTTTGGCGAGAAGGCCTTCTCGCCACTTGACAAGTCGAGACCGCCGTCTCGCCATTGATGCAAGTCGAGACCGCCGTCTCGAATGGCGAGACCGCCGTCTCGACCTGACAGGCGCAAATCCCTATAAATAGTGAGCGCTCCCCCCTTCATTTCACACAGTTCTTCCACTTTCCCTTCTACACTTTCTTCAAATTCTTCTCCTAGAGCCCCTCCGAAGCATTTCCAGAGTTTCTGAGTGTCTAATAGAGCTTTTTATAGCATTTTTTTAGAGCAATTTCGGCGTTGTAAGAGCGAAGGGTTGCTAAAACGCACCCTATTTTTCAATAGAATTAATCAAAAACTTGCTCCAGAGGTTTCTGCACTCTCTCCCTCTCTTTTAATGCTTTTTTACTTATATTAAATTGCGTAATAGATACTAGGGTCATGTAGTCATCATTTTAATTCTGAAAATAAAAGGGTAAAAGTGTCTTTTCAAAAGTTTATTTATAAAATAATTGGCCTATCATAGGGAACCCGAAAGGG